TTTAAACCGATGGAAATTTAATCCTTTGCCAAAAGCTTTCAAAGACTTTAACTTGTAACGTCTTTGCTTCAGTCTATTTACAAAAACGGAAGGCGGACTTCCTGTTTATGACCTCCCGCTTCAGTGCCGAATTAAAGTATTTAAAAATCCAATTTTCCGATTTACTCACGAGTAGTTGTTTAAAATCCAATTGTCCACAGGAAAAAGTCAGCGGCAACAGCAATGCGGCTTCACTCCGTGAAAAAAGCAGTCGATTCAAAGCACCGCGCCACTCACCCCACGTCGCTCCGGATCCCCAAAACAGGGTTTCCCCGCGAGTAGGGGAGGCGCAAAAGGTGCCAGCCGAATCCCAGGTTCACAAGCTTCTCTCGCTTGTGATTTCAATGGGTCTCCACCTTCGCCGTGGCAGTCAGACCCTGTTTTTCACGGAGCAAGTTCCTCCCGAACGGAGGAGCTCCGCCATTGCCGGAGGCGCCAACCCGGAAGTCCCTCAAATGGGGAAATATTTCAGCATATTTCAAACCAATATGAAATGAGTAAAGGTAAAGGGACCCCTGACCATTAGGTCCAGTCATGACCGACTCTGGGGTTGCGGCGCTAATCTCGCTTTATTGGCCGAGGGAGCCGGCATACAGCTTCCGGGTCATGTGGCCAGCATGACTAAGCCGCTTCTGGCGAACCAGAGCAGTGCATGGAAACGCCGTTTACCTTCCCGCCGGAGCGGTACTTGCACTTGGCATGCTTTCGAACTGCTAGGTTGGCAGGAGATACGAAATGAGAGGTACCACCTATTTCTGTTCCCTCAAGGCAATTTAATTGAGAAGGGTTCTTCCACTGAATTGTATACGGAAATTTAAAGAGGCTTCAGGCCCAAATATTTCTTGGATGGAGGAACAACAGGCAGTTTCTCTTTGCTGTAATCTCCCCCTTCAAATATTCCTGTTGAATGCAATTGATAAATTGGGGGCAGGGCAGACAGAAACCTATACCTGAAGTTCCCCTTTTTCCAAGGATCTTCAGTGGGAAGGACGGTTGCAGATGTTTCCAGTTTTCACATTATTAGGGTTACCACCTCTAAGCAATACCCGGAAGGAAAATGGGGGTAATAGCAAGAATCCCTAAAGGCAAACTGAGGGGGAAAATAATTGTGAGGCAAACCACTTCTGTCTTCACTGTTTCTGCTCACAGTGACTCTGCCGGGATGCAGGAAAATGTCAACTCCCCCCAACTCACCACCCTGACATACATAAAAGGATTTGGAGTTAGCAGAACAAAAATGGGACTAGAGCTGATTATCCCCAGTCAATCACGCCTGCCCTCTCCCATCATGTATCCCTGCTCTTCCTATTGTTGTGACAGGCACTACTCACATAGCCTTGAAGGCCATCTATTTGTATTCAAATCATGTTCATCCATCCAGTAGATATTTCTGAGTGTTGTTCGAGCCCAATCCTATCTGCAACTTATACCTTCAGAACTGCTGGAGCCAAGGAGGCTTTCTACGCTGAAGATTTCACATGTGGAGAGAGGTGGTTTTTTGGCTACCCACTTTCCCACAAAATCATGCTCAAAGTGGCTCACAATAACAACGAAAAACAGGGATGCATTTCAAACAAGCACTACAAAAGCTATTTCATAATAACATAGCATATATATATATATATATATATATATATATATATATATCATACAAAAACACATTTCAATACTTTAATTATAACAAGATTACTTAAACAACACGTAGTACCCAATAGCAAAAATAACAAAGGAGCTTCATAGTTTCACCTTAGTCCTAGAAACACGCTTCCCATGATGTTACTAAGTGTCACCTTCCTGCACCCATTTGCAAGGCTTCCAAGGGTAAAGGTTGGGATAGTTGGAAACACCCCTCTCATGATGCTGCTCATAGTCCCTCTCCTACAGCAGTTTCTTCTAAGGCTTCTCCCTAATGGCATAATTTAAGCTCCATCTAATTGTCGTCATCCGGGGATCGAAAGGCCAGCTGGCTAGCCCCCAGGTGGATCGTCTCCTTCCAGCTGTGCCGCTGCGAAGATCCATCAACCTCTGGCTCCGACATAAATCAGTGACCCGAGCCTCCCAGACCTGGGCACACTATACTTAGCAGTGTAAACTGCACAACAGAAAAGACTGAAGCTTGTGAATACATACTATTAACTACAGATTTATTAAACATAAATCAAGACAAAGAAACATGTTGTCTCTCCCTGCCGTCTCCTCGGAGAGAGAGTCAAAGCAAAAGCAACACAGCGGAAGTTCCGTTTACGCCAGCAAACTGTGCTGGAACGTAAACAGACATATGACACGTAACAATCCCATATCTGCAACTAAAGGTGAATGGAAAATCCCAACACTAATATCAGTACAGCGAACGCCTCTTGATGACTCAAGTAAGCGAAACATGCAATGTAAATACAGAAGACAAAACCAGCAAAGTCGAATTGCTGTGGGGGTGGGGGGGGGAACTGACTAAAAATCTAGCACTGGCCCAAAATAGGTGTGGTTGTGTTCCAATCCACAAGCAGGTTTGGGGCCACTGGAATAGATTGGTCTGTTGTAAAAAGCTGACCAAACCTATTTTTCCACCATCCCTATCCATACACACACACATAAAATATGAATAAAAAACCAAGGTGATTGTCAGTGCCACAAAATATACTGAGATCTGAATGTATTCTCAACAATCACCACCTTTTCTTCCTAATATATATTTTTAATGTCGCAGAGAAAACACTGTATAATCATTCCGTTGTGTGTAATAATGGCAGGCTGCTGAATTGCAGTGTATATTTCAATATGAAAGGGCCATGGTCATATGAACAAGCTACAGGTCATATTACTCTCAGAGTACTGAAGGAAACGAAGCAATTACTGTAATGGTATGGTGCACTATTTTCTATTGTAATCTAATATGAAGATTTTTCTAGCACCTGCACATCTTTAAGTAAAATTGCATGCCTTTAAGCTTTTATAAGTCATTAGTTTGGGAATGGTGCCCTTAAAGCTGTTAAACTGAATACATCATAAAAGTGACATTTTGTGGCTTGAGAAGTACTGTTCCCGTAGTGCTAAACTCACTGCTAAGAAATATCAATGGTCATAAAAAGTGTCTGTTAACAATCTTGAAAGGTCAAGTATCTTTGCTTGTATAAAATAATTCCCCCTCCAAGAGTTCTCCATTGGGAATCCAGAGGCATAAGAAGATTGGGATTCTTAAAAACTATACGTACCAAATTTCCTTCTTCAAGTTATTTATGGTGATTTTCAGGATATGATGCTCTGAAAAATTTGGTTTAAAGTAAGCAAAATATGCAGTTGAAGTGGTTTGTGAAAAACATGAGAATAATTGACCCAATGTAAAAAGATAGCTTTCTTTTGAGAAATCTATTCCTTTGAGCTCTCTGTAATTTGCTGTAGATTTGAAAAATCAACTTAAATTATAGGCTTTGAACTCTGGGGTTGATCTAATAACCAATGAAGTGACTGGGGGAATTATATCTAGGTACCAGAAAGGACATAGGTAATGTACATAAACATAATGTGCATTTATTGGGAAGATATAGGCCATTTGGCTTACCACCATGTGCGCAAGCAATAAAGCAAAAACATTCATGTTGTGATATACACTAACATTTTGTGATGTACACTATTGCATGGCCAATCGTCAGAAGCACACCACCCAGCAAGTTAAATAAGACACAGGACATCAGTGTTGGGATGAAATAGGCCACAACTTTATTGATTACAGATGTAAACCGGTTTTGATGAAGGCATTGGATATGCATCCGAGATCAACCATCCCATCTGCTGGATGGTAATGCGATGTGTTGACCCTGGAAAGGAGATTCCCCCCCCCCCCATATTGAGTTTGATGCTCCGTCCAGGACAGGTGCCAGCTTGTGATGGTGACTGGCCCCTCTGAAATCATGCATGTGACACGTGTGACATCAGGAAGTTGGGAAGAGCCAGGGTGGAGTCAAATGTGGCAGCAGTACAGCTTCAATGACTGGTGGCTCCTGCTGCTCCTGCTCCTGCCACCTGCTTGAACCCTCCTTCCCCTCTGTGGCAGGAAGAGGAAGAGAAGGAGTCGCCCCTAAAACTGCACCATGCTTGTCTCTGCACTTGGCCTCTTCCAACTCCTGATATTTTTGGACATTGCAGGGCCTCCCAAAAATATTGGGGTAGTCAAAAGAGCTTGGCCCCCAGGATTTGGTGCCCCTGCTCCAGGGCCACCTCAGGAAGGGCCCCGTGTGAGCTCCCAGAGAGCAATACCCCTCCCCAGACACCCTTAGCAGGGTTCCCAAATGTTAAAGAGCCAGACCAATGCCTTAACGTCCAAAGCTGTGACAATTGCTATGAGAAAGGCAAAAACCTGCAGACAGGACAATTAGTCTGCAGGGAAAGTTCCTCCCTGACCCAGAATATGATAACCAAATATTCCACAGCAAGGTCCTAGCATATTTCAACATGCTCATCTTTGGGCAGGACCACAACACAATACGACAGGACAGTGGGAAATCCAGTGCCATCCCAAAGAGGGCCAGAGCCTGGGAGGCACTCACAGAGGGTGCAGAGTGAGCTTCAGCCAGGTCTCTGCCTACCATCAGCTTCTCCAGCCCTGACTGACACACATCATAGGCACCTTTGGTGCATCATAATGTTACTCACGGATGCCATGGGGCTTGCTGACGTGATGCAAGCACACCCCATGGAGCATGTGCATGTCTGCCACAAAACCTTTAGGGGGCCAGCCCTTCACTGAAAATTTTCCAGGGGCCCCTGCCCCCCCCACCTTGGCACACCTGTCCCCGAAGAGCCCCTGGATCTGGTCCATGACTACCCATTCAAGAGCCCTGCTTGAAGGGAGATTGTCAACTGGCTGCTAATTTCTCAGATTTTCTGAATCCAAGGAGAATATATTAAGGAGTGGTTTTACCACTGCCTCCCTCAAGGAGGCAGGGACTACCTGCTCTTACAAGGAGGCATTAATCATATATATATGTGTGTGTGTGTGTGTGTGTATACACACACACACACACACACACACACACACGGTTTATCCTCATCAACTGCCTCTTGGAGGTAACAACATTTTAAGGATACTTCTTAAACAACAGAAAGCGACATATTCATAAAATGCTGATCACTAAGAAAATGGGAAAATGGGACATCTGCGCTCAATATTTCTTTTAAACCAGCCTCCCTAAGAGAATGAAGAATACACTATTGCCCCATTACACCCTTGATCCAGGTTCAAAATGAGAGAGAGAGAATTTACAATGCCAGCAAATATACGTTTGCTAACACATGGCAAATTAAAAAGAATATCTGGCATCGCTAAAAAATCTCTTACTGTTCATCAAGTTGGTATCCTGCTGGAGTGCCTGCTTTCCAAACAGCTGTTGCACTAATCACACTCTCTGATTCTAGCTATAGATAATTATAATTTATTTTCTCCTGTATGTGACAAAATTCAGTGTTCTGTATTCATAGCAGAAATTTGCTAATACAAATTTAATTTAAGAATACATACTTATGGCACTAGCATATTGCCGGGAGAGTTGTACTAGCTATAGCAAATGGAATTTGCCCTACTAAATGCCATATCTGGATGAAAAAGTATGAGCTCTGATTGAGAATAACTCTCTCTCTCTAACTCACTGGAGTTTTGCTCTGTCAGCAAAAACAGGTCTAGTGAAAGTGAGAAAATTGCCGCTTTATTTTCCAAGAATCAAATAAATTTGAAAAAGTGCATATTTTACACCCTAGCTCAGTTCACCAGCAGAAGCAATAATTGCATTTATCATGCCATTATACAAATTAATTTATCCATGTAAGGCTATCTTTGTTTCAATGGATATTCTCAGATAGATGCAACCTGATTATGTAAGTCAGTCCACAACAAAATAAGGATGGAATGAGCAGCTAATACTGCCCTCAATCAGTGGTATATTTCACCTTGTTGCATGCCACTGTATCCACTGTGTGATGCTCTGCTGCATCCTGTTTTGTGCATTTCATGGATACTGTTTACATAAAACACACTTTTCAGTGCACTCACTTGCAAAATATGCATATTGCACACATCTTTTATGTGCACACTTTTTGTATATAAAAATCCAATGAACTGTGCCATTTGATAGAAATGGCTTCCTCTCTCAAATATTATCTTTCAAACTGTAAGGGACATGGAGGAGCCCTGACATGTCAAAGGTGGGGTTAAACACATGACCCCATAGGCTCTTTGTGTCCATGTTGCTCCTTTGTGAGAGTAGTAAGGGAGGCCCTGTTGTTGGTGTCACCTCTGGGTTTTGGGACCATGATCTCTGCTTCCTTGAGGAAGGACTTATGGCAAGAAGGCCCCACATTGGGGGGCATTCATGACATCACACATGCGGCACCCCGCCAGGATGCATGGGCACCTGTCAAGATGCTCTGGCGGACAGCGCAGAGGGCAAAAATCACCCTCCAAGGCTCCTGCCCAGCCCAGCGCTTGGGCGATGGCAGTGGGTGCCATGGAGGGTGCCAGCACTCGCCCAGGGGGGTGGCAGGGGATGGCAGCCCCCTTAATACTGGGGTGCAGCACCCCCTGCCTCAAAATATTGAGGGGACTGCAGCCCCTCGCACCCCATATGCCCGGTGCTGCTGCTGGCAAGAGATGATTGCACCTCACAGCATTTGGTAATAATGTGTTTGCCAAGTATGCCTTCCACAGAGTACAGCACATTAGAAATACACCATATTGCTATGCAAAACATCAAATATGGCTTTGGCCTGCATGCCACAGCTGCCATCATCACTGCAAGATGGATGGGAATTTCTTAAAGGTGAAATATTAATCAAGCATCTGGAAACAAAGCTTTATGAGGAATGGTTGAGGGAGCTGGGTATGTTTAGCCTGGAAAACAGGAGACTGAGAGGAGATATGATAGCCATCTTCAAATATCTAAAGGGCCGTGACATGGAAGATGGAGGAAGCTTGTTTTTTCCTGCTCTGGAGGCTAGGACCCAAACCAATGGCTTCAAGTTATGAGAAAGATGATTCTGACTAAACTTCAGGAGGAACTTAGATTCTTTGCATTGGAGGTTTTTAAGCAGAGGTTGGATCTGTCATGGATGTTTTAGTTGAGATTTCTGCATTGGCACTGACCCATTATATGGCCTTCTCTGTGATGGTTTCCCATTTGGGAAATGCCATCCCTGTACCTGTCTCCTTCGACGATTTTCAGAATAAATGTAAGAATGTAAAATTTAAAAAGGTAAAGGACCCCTGATAGTTAAGTCCAGTCGCAGATGACTTTGGGGTTGTGGTGCTCATTTCGCTTTACTAGCCGAGGGAGCCGACATTTGTCCGCAGACAGTTTTTCCGAGTCATGTGGCCAGCATGACTAAGCCGCTTCTGGTGAAACCAGAGCAGCGCACAGAAACGCCGTTTACCTTCCCGCCGGAGTGGTACCTATTTCTCTACTTGCGCTTTGACGTGCTTTTGAACTGCTAGGTTGGCAGGAGCAGGGACCAAACAACGGGAGCTCACCCCGTCGAAAGGATTCGAACTGCCGACCTTCCGATCGGCAAGCCCAAGGCTCAGTGGTTTATACCACAGCGCCACCTGCGTCCAATGTAAAATTTACTTTGGCTTTAAAAGAGGTTTAGAGAAATTCATGGAGGAGAGGGCTATCTATGACTACTAGCCACAATGGCTGTGCTCTGCCTCCACAGTTGGAAAGAGCAATGTTTCTTAATATTAGTTGTTGGGAACTAGTATTGAGGAGGAGTGTGCTCTCATGATCAAATTCTACTTGCTGGTCTCCCACATGCATCTGGTCTGCTAGGACTAGATGGGCCATTGACCAATCCAGCAGGCTCTTTATGTGTTATTGCAGCGAACAATTTGTTCTCTCGGGGTAGAAGAAGCAGCCATTCTCTAACTTTGGTATAGTTCTTGTTATCAGAAGCGAGTCATACCTTTTTCATTGCTTCTCCTCCACTCTATTTTTTAAAACTCCTATCATGAAATATCCCACTGTATATATAAATAAAGGAATCCAGATAAGTTCTTGTCAGGACTACTGCACGCTGCGTTAGTACTGTCAGATCAAATATGTGGTTACCTGAACACTTCTCTTTGACAATGACGGAAAAGTATGGTCTGAGAGCTTCTTAAGCAAAGCTTGAGTTTAGGGTGTTATTCAGACATATTTGCCAGCTTCAAACATAGGTGGGAGGCTGAGATTGTCTATTTCATGCTGTGCTCTTGAGTCATTCAAACTCTCTCAGAAGCATAACATTCCATCTATTCATTCATTTAAAAACATTTTATACACCACCTTTCACCAAGACTGGTTCCAGAGAAGTTTACACAATTAAAACATTACAACAACAAAACATATAAAATTACTAGCAGATAAAACAGCCATCTGCAAGATTTAAAATGCCTAAAATGTAAACGCCTGAGAGGATTAAAAGGTTTTGGCTGGTGCCTGAAAGAAAGCAGTGTTGGTGCCAGATGAGCCTCTCTAGGGATGGTGTTGCATACACAGGATGACAAACCCGAAAAGTCTTTCTGTCTAGTTGCCACCTGCTTCGTGTCTGTTTGACAAGGAGGGAACAGAGAGGAGCCCTCGGCTGATGATCTAAGAGTGCAGGCAGGATGGCATGGGAGAAATGCAGTCCTTCAGATACCTGGTCCTAAGTCTTTAGGGATTTTAAAAGTCAATACTAGCACTCGTTTGAGAGCAGCCAGACAAGCCAGGGAGCTCCTTTGCACTAGCAAAATACGAAATGAATTTGGCATACCTGGCAGATGCATTCTGTACAAACTGAAACTTTTGAAACATATTCAAAGGCAATCCCATCTATAGAAAGAATGGGGGACCTTTGGCCCTCCAGATGCTATTGCATTACATGTTCAATCAGCCCTGAGCATTGGTAAAGCTAACTGGGAATGATGGGAAGTAAAGTCCAGGAACATCTGGAGGACCACGGGTTCCTCATCCCTGTGTTACAGTAATCCCATCAGAAGGTTATTATTGCATAGATAACCATCGCCAGGTTGTCTCTGCCTCTCCAAGAGCTTTTGAACAAGACAAAGTTGATAGAAGGTACTCTGGGCTTTAAATGTCTAACTTGAAATTTTAAAAAATATACTTTCTGCGTTTTAACACATCAGGTGTGAATTTTGAATGTGAAAGTTTTATGTTGAAAATGTTTTCTATTAGGATGTTATATTAGGATGGTGATAAAAATGACAACAACAACAAAGTTGGTTCTAGGAGAATCACCAGGCTGTGAACTTTTTCCTTCAAAGGGAGTGAAACTGCCTCAGGAGGTGGTGGACTCTCCTTCCTTGGAAGTTTTAAAGTAGATTTTGGAAGAAGATCAAACATGTCCATTCTTAAGGAAATCAGCCCTGAGTGCTCACTGGAAGGACAGATCCTGAAGCTGAGACTCCAATACTTTGGCCACCTCATGAGAAGAGAAGACTCCCTGGAAAAGACCCTGATGTTGGGAAAGATGGAGGGCACAAGGAGAAGGGGGTGACAGAGGATGAGATGGTTGGATAGTGTTCTCGAAGCTACCAGCATGAGTTTGACTAAACTGCAGGAGGCAGTGGAAGACAGAAGTGCCTGGCGTGCTCTGGTCCATGGGGTCACGAAGAGTCGGACACGACTAAACGACTAAACAACATCTGTCATGGATGCTTCAGCTGAGATTCTTGCATCACAGGGATTGGACTAGATGACTCCTGGAGTACTTTCCAATTATACAATTCTATTATTCTATTATTCCTTTCAGAATAGGGTACATACCATCTTCCTGAACCTGGGAACCAAATTCCCACAATTCCTCTGTCTTCTCAGAATTTAGTTTCAGCCTGGAATAGTAGAGGCAGCAATCACTCCTTGGATGGAATGTGAGATGTGTCATGCTTGCCAGAGGACAGAGAAGTGCAAAGATGACTATGATGAGAAAACCTTTGGAATTCTGTTTTACAGATGTAAATACTGGTTTGAAACAAAACATTCAGAGAAAAGACAGCTGAGTTCTAGTTGCCACCATT